GCGTCTGCCCTTGTCACTGAGCTCGTCGACTTTGCTGCGCGCTGTCGTCTGGACTCGCTGCTAGTCTTGTCGCTGATTCTGAGTCGGCCTGTCCTCCGTCCGTCGGGGTGAGTGTGCTCTTCTTGGCACGGACGTCCTGATGGACAGCAGGAGGAGTTCCACTGTCTGGCCGCCGCTTCACCTCATCTCGCGTCTGTAATGCTAGCCCCTGAGGGAGACCTGGATGCACTAGACATCCCGACTCTCCGCGCTCTTACGCGGAGGCGATAGAGGGTCCCTACTCCTCTTAGTGGCAGGCAGCTATGGATGCACAGATGGCTTCCTGGAAGTCCACAGGCACCTACGTTGACGCTGTTCCCCCTCCTGGGGCGAACATCGTCAGTGGCATGTGGATCTTCAGGGTAAAGCGGCCGCCAGGTTCTCCGCCTGTCTTCAAGGCGCGTTACGTGGCTCGTGGCTTCAGTCAGCGGCAGGGGGTTGACTACTTTCAGACCTTCTCCCCCACCCCGAAGATGACCACTCTTCGGGTACTGCTGCACGTTGCTGCTCACCGTGACTACGAGCTGCACTCTCTCGACTTCAGCACTGCTTTCTTGCAGGGTAGCCTGCACGACGAGATCTGGCTGCGTCGCCCACCTGGCTTCACTAGGTCTTTCCCTCCTGGTACCCAGTGGAGTCTCCGGCGTCCAGTCTACGGTCTCTCCGCCAGGCACCACGTGAGTGGCACGACACACTGAGGACTACGCTGGCGGCACTTGGGTTTGCTCCCTCTACTGCCGACCCGTCGCTGTTTCTTCGCACCGACCCCTCTCTGCCGCCGTTCTACATCCTCGTGTACGTCGACGACTTGGTCTTTGCCATAGCTGACACTGCTGGACTTGCCTACGTGAAGTCCGAGCTCCAGAAGAGACACACGTGCACTGACCTGGGTGAACTGCGCAGCTACCTTGGCTTGCAGATCACCCGGGACAGAGCACGCCGCACCATTACCCTGACTCAGTCACACATGGTGCAGCAGGTCCTTCAGCGCTTCGGCTTCACGTACTCCTCGCCTCAGGCCACTCCTCTGTCTACTCGCCACTCGCTCTCAGCTCTGCCTTCGGATGAGTCCGTAGAGTCGAGTGGCCCGTATGCAGAGCTTGTTGGCTGCCTCATGTACCTGATGACCTGCACACGACCTGACCTTGCATACCCTCTTAGCATTCTCGCACGCTATGTTGCTCCTGGGAGACACCGACCAGAGCACATGGCTGCAGCGAAGAGGGTGTTGCGCTACTTGTGCAGTACGTCGGGCATGGGGCTAGTGCTTGGAGGGCGCAGTCCGGTGGAGAAGTGGCGCACATATTATTTGCTCGCCGTTTGAAGTGAGAAGAAATGAACGAACGTAAGAAATAGAAGAAGACAGAGAGATTAAGGACACGTAAAGAACACGGAAAGTAGGAACAAAGGAGAAAACGTAGAACAAAAACATACTACTAGTAGGCTGGAAATAAGAAGGTAACGAGAGGGGAGGGGGAAATACGATCAGGGGAGAAGTGGCAGAACGTGATAAAGAAAGGGAAGGAATCTATACAAAAAACGGCATACTTACATCTACTTAAATGAGGACGTAGATGGCTAAAGTGCATCTAGGCTGTAAAACGACCTACCTGTGATTGTGTGCATAGGAACCAAGAAGAGACAAGTTGCACGGGCGAGTGGACGGAAGAGAGACGAAAGGGAAGAACAAGACATTAATGAGCTATGGTGACGTAGTGGCGAGTAGCTACACTAGGCGTGAGTGGCGCTAGTGCCTGGAGTAGCGTTGGAAGAGAAAGCAGCGACAAATAATCAGGACCCTAAGGCACATTTTGAATTTGCAAAACGATCAATTAAAGCACGACGCAATAACTTACGGCGTGAGTAGCACAATGGTTTCGATCTCAACTCGGATTCATGGCTGGAATGAAAATAAGAGAAAGAATGGGAGGAGTAAGGAAAACGGAAAAACAGGAAAATGGAAAACGGCAAGTAAGAAAACGACAGGAAAACGACATGAAAACATACGTAAATCGAAGTTCAGCGAGCTAAGATGCACCTAGACATATGAAAACGGCAGTCTAGTTTACTACCTAGTAGAAGAGAAGTAAGGAAGTCAGAAAGTCAGAGAAAATTTGCAAATACGAGGCAATAAGAATTCAACAGAGAAAAGGGAATGATCTACAACAGAAGAAATGTGCAGGCTTATTAAAGACCTGACCTCAAGTCTAACAAGTCTAAAACCTAAGCTTAATCAACTGACATCTTCTAAACGCGGTCAACACTAGAGTATAAAATATGTTAGTCTAGCTAGCAATCATCTAACTTAATTCTGCTTGATAGGTTAGGGTTCTCACCTTAGTAGGAACTACTAGGTCGAGCGTGACTAGCGGGGAGCTCAACCAGCGAGAGGAAGGAAAGAGAAAAAGGAAACCCTGAGGGATCAGATTCGTCGCAAAATATGAGTGTATAATGTTACGAATAACAGAGTAGTGGTAGTGCAGTTGTTGAAGAATCTCGTCAGAATTGAAAGGCCAAAGATCGAATCTTGGGGTACGTTTTTCTGAATCTTGGCATGTTGGAAAAAAACATCGTGTCAGTGTCATACTACAGTATTATTATGTACAATTAATAAATTGTAGAAAACTGTGTACACCTGATGCTCGTTAGAGCCCCTCCCGGTTGCCTTGTGCTCTGGGACTATAAGCTAAAACTCATTTCGCCAGAGGTTCGTTCGTTTCGTCCCGCGTATCCCGTGCCTCTAACCCGCAAATGGTTACCTCACCTTTTGTTTGTTTCGTAACAATGGGGGTTTGCCGTGCTTGTCTCCTTCGTGTGTTCAATGTTACTACACGACCACTACAGTAATGAATCAGGCGTGCACATCAATTATTCCTCGAGGTGAGAAACAACTAACACAACATAGGCATCCAATCAACAACTCCCACCTGGCCCCCCATAGCAACACAACACACGAAACGAAACACACTGAAATGGGCACAATGTTTGATCACTAGGGCCCTGCAAATTCACTCGACACTTTGCTCTGGCTGCTCCACCCCCTCTCACAGACGCATCCATTCAGCTGCATCCACATAGCCGTCCATCACGGCGCCCACCCCGGCATCAAGCAGCTGCTGACGGCGGGGACGGGCGGGTCATCCAGTCGGGCAGCACACGGCCCCGCGGACGAGGGGTCTCGGGAGTGGGGGTTTGCGCCGGGGAGGGTACGGGCTGCGGCGCCACGTTGAGATTGAATCCCGGGCTCGCCCGCTCCATCCGCGCGATTATGATTGGATTGCGGATGTCAAAAAGAGCGCACAGATCGCGCGGAGTGATGCGGGTGGCCCCGGGCGTAGCCGATGAGCATCTCGCACGCCGCACGAGCAGTGCGGCGCGCTTCACGGCACACGGGGTCGGCGTCGTCGTAGACGGCCTGCATGGTCGTCGGCGCCTGCCAGAGCTCCACCTCCAAGCGCATCTCTTCCTCTGTCACGGGCGGGTGTGCCGTGCCTTCCGCACACGTGGGCTCCGCTGTCGTTGATGGTGACGTATTCCGCCGCCGTCATTGCCGCATCCCCGAGGGCGAGCCTGTTAATAAGCGTCCCGACATCATCGATGTCATCGTCGAGTTCGATGTCGGATAAGCTGCGGGGATGGGCTCGTCGTCATGCACGTGCGGCAGCTCCAGTGACCACGAGAGGGGAAGACAACCCCGTGCGCCACCAGCACCGTGAATGGTGCGCGCGCCGACGGAGGTCCACGACTCCGACAGCCACCCGAGCACATCTCGCAGATTCGGCCGGAATCGAGCGACAGCGGAAGTCGCTCCGTCGGCGTTCCATAAACCCGAGGAAGGCCCGCAGCCAATGCTGGCGGTAGCGGGCCGTCGCGGGTGGCGATTATGCCCTGGTCAAGGCGGCTGAGTGAATGCCGTGGTATTGGGCGGCAGGAAGACAAGCCGCACGTGGCTCATGCACGTGGTCCTGACGCCGCACACGATCTCGCTCCATGCATCTTGAGAGCGCAGCATGTGGCTGCTCGCGTTGTCCAGCAGCACCACTATTTTGCGACCCTCGGCAAACATCGCCGCGTTGAGATGAGTAATGAAATGCGTGAATAACTGTTGGACGGGATGGCATGGAAGAAAGGGGCACGGTCGGCATCATCGTGAGAACAGACACATGAAAAAATATGCGCTAAAAAGCAATGAGAGTAAAAATGTGCACATCGAACGCAAAGATGCTTACTGGCGAGGTCATCCAGCCTTTGGCGTTATGGCGCCAGTAGCATAGCGCCTCAGGGTCGTAGTCGGGCCGGAAGTCATGCGGCCTCTTCGCCTTGCTGATCACAAGCGGCCGGAATGCATGGCTACCGTCCGCATTCACAGAGGAATGCGACGGCCAATCGCTCCTTTCGAGACCTTGCGGCCTGGTATGCGGCCGCTGCTGTAACGTGCGCCGCGGAAGCACCGACAGCCAGAGAGCAGTCTCGTCGAGGTTGAAGGTGTCCCGCGGGGCGACGCCGAGCTGCGTGAGGAGTCGCGGCATCTTCTCACGGGCGTCGCGCACGGCCGCCATATCTGCGCTGGCGGCCTCGGCCCTGTGCCGCATGGCCATCTCACGCCCTGGCGCCGCGATGCACGGCGCACCCAGCCGTATCGAGCATCGGAAGGTGGGCGGAATGCCCATGTTCCTGGCCATCTCCGCGACATGGTCGCGGATGGTTTGGAGTGTGAGGGGCACACCCGTCGGGTCTCCTGCGTTTGCTATCCACCGCCGCCATGGCCTGCTCCAGCTCAGGCCAGGCGCCTCCCCGACGGCGCACCGGGTTGTCGCCGTCGGACGTCACAGCCCATCGCTCGGCGATTTTTAGGATGCAGCCGATCGTAGAGCGATCCGGGCGCAACCCGTATTGGGAGAAACACCATCGAGCTAGGTCAACATGGCGCAGGACGGGGTGTTCGACGTGGTGCGCGCAAATGGCGCGCTTGATGTGGAGCGGGCAGCTGTTCCCGTCGATTAAATCGGGGCATTGTGTGAGATGAGGTGAGTGAACTAACTGTCTTAGTGAAATTGTTGTTCACATTTTATCCTGAGTTCGAATTTACCTGGGACAAGGTTGGGGTCTGTTCTTTGGGGCTTGGGACTGTACGTGTGGTGGAGTTCGTTCCATGCACCTGGCTTGCACATTTGACGTTTTAGGTTGGTAACCTTACGTTCAATTGTCTGACGTGGTGTATGAGAACAATGCCTGGCTACAATAACGCTTGTACCCAGCACAGGCAGATTACACGTGGGATCGTGAATTTGCCCACGTTGTCTGTTACACGCACAATGATCCGTGCCTAGGTGGCGGGGTGGATTGGCGATTGCGTTCACGAGGCCTCGTTGGACAAGGTTGGGGTCTGTTCTTTGGGGCTTGGGACTGTACGTGTGGTTGGAGTTCGTTCCATGCACCTGGCTTGCACATTTGACGTTTTAGGTTGGTAACCTTACGTTCAATTGTCTGACGTGGTGTATGAGAACAATGCCTGGCTACAATAAACGCTTGTACCAGCACAGGCAGATTACACGTGGGATCGTGAATTTGCCCACGTTGTCTGTTACACGCACAATGATCCGTGCCTAGGTGGCGGGGTGGGTTGGCGATTGCGTTCACGAGGCCTCGTTCGTTTCGTCCACTCACTTTCGCGGTGTAGGCTCCTGGCCTGGAAACGGGGCACAGCAGGGTTGGCGTTGGTTGTTCGGGACTGCACGTGTTAAACTGTCCGAGTCGCGCGCACTGTTTCCTGCCACCCCGGGGGCTTGTACTGTGGGAGCAGCAAGCGGGGGTTTCCTGCTCGGGGGCAGCGTTTCCATCCAGTGCATGGCAATTTCGCGTGCATGGGGTGAGCATCAGCTGTACTTACAGTTACGTAAAAAGCTTCGCAACCCTAGACGATATCGTCGCCTCTTGTTTTTTTTCACCTCGATACTGCAATCCTCGCTTTCTAGCGCAGTTACATGTGCAGTAAACGCCCTGCGCGCAACAGGGCGCCATGGGCCTACCGTCTCGATTTTGCCACACTCGAATAAGGTGAAGGTCTGACTGGTGGGAGGTGAGCTCCAGGGGGGGTCCAACTCGTTTGTTTACAGCTCGTGGATCGTGGCTGAGGACGGTTCCATACGGTGTAGTGCACTATGACAGTACGGAGCTAGACTCGTAATGAGTACCGAGAAGCATACAAGATGGAAACTCCCTAGGAAATGTTCTTCTCATTTAGGGCGCGTTCGTTCCGTTCCCAAGTTCGAAAATAAGTCTGAACTTTAGGTGGTTACCTGATTCGCCAATCTTGTCACGAGCGTGTGACGAACATCGCGAATTTAAGGCCTAATGAAAGTTCGAACTTGAATTTTGAACATGACTCGAGTTGGCGTTGTGAACGTGCGTGAGCACGTTCATGTGAGCGTGTGTGTTTTCGGCACGTGCGAACACCATACGAAAATGACGACTTCGTCGCGAAACATACAATGGCATTACTTTGACTTGGCGAGCAAGTACCGGGTAACATAAAGTTCGAATTCTGGTGTTCGGCCTTGCGTGTGTGATTGCATCTTTGCAGTGTTACTCCCGCGATTTTCGAACTTCGCTACAAGGAAAGTCGAATTCCCATCGACTTAGGTTAAAAAAAATTGGCCCCCAAAACATGAACTTTGTCCAATTTGACGGAACGAGCGCGCCCTCAGCCATCTAGTTTCAAGGAAGAATTTGTGTCTTAGGACAGGACATCATTGTTTTGTCGGTCTAGTACCAAACCCACTGCCGACATCCTGGCACTGCGGAGCGCGTTACATCACTCGTGTTCGAGAGCTCCTCAATCCGCCGAAATCCGCGAACCTGAAGTTTTATGACCCGTCCCGACAGCTTGACGACAATCGTTGGGGCATCGTAAGCTGGCGAGCTTTCATGTTGGCGCCGATGGCGAACTTTGTCAGACTCTAGAAAAAGTGGCTTGGGGCCAAACTTCCCTCCGACGGAGGCTACCTCGGGGTAACCAACAGTCGTGAATCGTCAGTTCAGGAGTCGCGAGGAGCCTACTACTACTTGCTCAGTTCTAAAGACGCGGAGAGGGGAACTGTGGACGTGCGACAGCGAACGCCCAGGTTGCAATCATGCACCGTACGGGTAGCTGTACAAAGCAGCGCACGGGCGCACGGACGGCAGCATCGTGTGACTGCTGAGATGTTTCAAATGGCGAGGCGACGCCGCAGACAGAATGATGCGGTCGCCAACGCCCTCCTGCTCGCCGCTCTCGCCTTTTCCGTGAGTTCTGTTTCACAACCTGTAAAATTCTGAGAGCTGAGCTTTTCCAAACGCTAGATGTTGAAAATACGCGAATCGCGTACGGTGCGCGAACGAACTATAAGCTTCTCTATATAGCTCCATGTCTACAATATAGCAGAACCTATAAGTACATAGTACGGGGCAGGGAAACAAATTTGTGAGGCGATACGCTAATTCCCAGCGTAGAAAAAAACCCGAAATACGGAGTGTCGGGAGGGTAAAATAAACTTCGGGCAAGAAAAAGCATTCCTGTGAGGGTAAAATCGAATTTAAAATTCAGCAACATTTGCAGATGCGGATAACTTTCTTGGAGTTTCCGCGATCAGGACCCCTGAAACGTCTGAACTTTGTTGGCTAGAATCGTCCTGAAATTCCGGTTGCAAAGAAGATCCTGCTATAGCTGCTAGCAATAGCAGGTGCGACATTAGTGGTCGACATAGCTGTTTGGAAGTAAACTGTGAGGTGAGTTATGAAGAGACGTAGAGTAGAATTCGTGAGGCAAATGAGATTAGGAAGGACTCACCTTGCTGTTTCACTCACGCCGAGTGAAAGCTGGGAACTGCTCGTGGTGGAAGGGAAGGGTTGGGTTTGGGAGGTGGTGTGGGGTGATGTGCGGTGTGGGAGGTGGGGGAGGAAAAGAAAGGAGGGGAGGGGAGGCATTCGAATTTCGGATCTCAAAATTAGGTCGCAGAATCGCAGATCGTGGGAACGGCGGCCAACAAATTTTGTTTGTTTTTTTTGTTTTCCGGGCTGCCCAACCGAAAGGTATCACGTAATATGGAAGGTATCGCGTTTTCCCTTTCGTATATACTCTACCATACAAACGTGATACGTCGAAGCCTGAGCGTTTTTTCCAACATAACGCTGCTTAACTTTACTCACCTCGCTCTCGACCACTCTCACCAACATATCCTCACTCATCCTCCTCACTCCCTTTTACCAATAACCCTCACCCACTCACTTTGACTCTCCAATAACTCATCCTCACTCTCATTAACTCATCCATAAGAACCGCATCCTCCCTTCCGTCCTACCTTAACTCCATTCCCTGTTGTCCATCCTCCCGTGTTCACCTCTGCCCTTCCCCTTCCCTGGCGCCAGCTCCTCCCCTCACTGCGTGCGTCTGCCTCCCCCGTCGCCTCCTTTCTGGACTTCACCTTCTCCGACGCCCTCTGTGGCTCCTGGGCGCCGCGACTACTCCGCCCTGCACGCCCGCATTCGCCACGCTGCTCGCTCCCACGCAACCACCCTTGCACAGACGGCTGTTGCTGCTGCTAATGCTGCAGCAGCCGCCGCAGCAGCAGCGTTACCACCGTCACCACCACCGCCGCCAGCACCACCACCACCAAGATCCCCACCACCGTCACCACCACCACCGCTATCACCATCACCACCACCACCATCACCGCCATCACCTCCCCCCCCAAAACCACCACCCCCACCATCACCACCACATCCTTCATTCTCCCCCCCTCCCCCCTTACCTCCTCCTCCCCCATACCCCCCCCCTCCATCCCCCCCGCCTCCATCCCCCCCGCCTCCATCTCCCCCACCTCCATCCCCCCCTCCTCCACCCCCTCCTCCGCCATCCCCCTCACCCCCAGTCACATACCCCCAGCCCCCCCTGGACCCCTCCATCCGCTTCCTCACGTACGAATGGCTGGACGAGCCGGGCGGTCTAGCCGACTCCCTCACTGGCCTCGCCACCGCATTCGCCTGCGCGCTGCTCACACGCCGAGCCTTCATTCTCCGCCACCCGCTCCTGCCGCTTGCGTTCGCGCCGAACCTCATCGACTGGTCGTTCTCACCTGACATTCCGATCGAGCCGGCTCGGCGGATCGTTGTGAAAAGGGGAGTGTTGGTGAGGCCTGAATGGGGAGGAGGAGGAGGTGGTGGAGGGAGTGTGGGGGGTGACGGGGGGAGTGGTGGGGAGGAGGGGGGGAGGCGGAGGGAGGGGATAGTGCAGGAGGGGGAGGTGGTGGTGGTGGATCTGAGGAACCAGTTTCTGGAGCCCGAGGAGTTCTTCGCGTTGCTGGACACAGCCTTGAACGTGCGGCTGTCGTGGAACAGAGGCCTGCTCACCTATTGGCTCGTGCAGGTGGGTGTAACTGCTGAGTAGAAGAAAAACATAACCAACTGTTGTTCTTGTTGTGTTATTCATCTGTCCATTTGCCTTCATTTGGTCGACAAGGCGAACCTCAGATGAGGCTTGTCTCCTGTTCCTGCGAAGCAGCAACCTTAGCCTTGTCTGTCTTGCCTCACCCGCCACCTCTTGGTACATATGGCGGCGGCAGGCTGTGAAGGGTGGAGGGGCATGGGCATGGGCATGGGCATGGGCATGGGCATGGGCATGGAAGTGGTCATGGGGATGGGCATGGGCATAGGCATGGGGTATGGGAATGGGCATGCAGCATGGGCACAGGTATGCACATGGGTATGGGCATGGGTATGTGCAGTGGCATGGGGATGGGCACAGGTATCGGCTTGTGCATGGCCATGGGTATGGGCATGAGCTTATCAGCATGGACATGGGGATAGGGATGGGGATGGGGATGGGGATGGGTATGGGCATGTGCGTGGGCATGGCATGGGCATGGGCATGGGGATGGGCATGGACATGGGCATGGGCATGGGGATGGGCATGGCCTTGGGCATGCAGCATGGACATGGGCGTGGACAGGGTGTGGAACATGGAAATGGGAATGGGGCATGGGCATCGGCATCGGCATCAGCATCGGCATCGGCGCGGGCATGTGCATGTGCATGCATAATCGCCTATTGGCATGAGTATGTATGGGAATGAAAAGGGCATGGGCATGCGACCTCTGCTGTTGCTAAATCCTCCCACATCCTCTCTCGCCCCCCCTCTTCATTCTCCGTATTCTGAGGACGTGCTCTCTTTTCCTCCTAGCTGCATGCAGCCTCATCATGTGCCCTCATCCCCTCAGCATAACACACCTCATGTGGTCTCTCTCATAAAAGCCTATGCTAGATATCCCCTGCATGCTCGCTTGCTGCATGTGGCCTCATGTGAAGTGAAACCCCTCCGCCCACCACCGTTTCGCCCCCCATTCCGCCGCCTCGAGCACAATTCATATGGCCCTCTCTCAAACGAACGTGTGCTAGCAATAACCTACACGGGAGCCAGTCTCATGTGCTTCATGTGCTCATCACCTCTCCTCTCTGAGATCACTGCAGGCGGTGGATAAGAAGTGGAGTGACCGCCTCAAGGGCATGGCCATGCGCCCTCCGTACGCCTTTGGCTGCATCCTTCGCTTCCTTCTCAAGTGCGTCTCCATTGCCTCGTGCATGAAATGGCGACAATCTATCGGGTCACATATTTATGTGTTTTGGCCCCAGAGACGCACACGTGACATGACATTGCAACTGCAGTGATGTGACATTCCTGTGTGATGTGATGCTATCGGCTCACTCGCTGTGACCCGTCACGGGGTGCTGCTTGATTGATGGCTCTCAAATGTAAGTTTGAGGCTTCCTAAATCATACTTCCATCTCAAGTGTCCCAGCTCCCTCGAGGGTGAGTCAGGGCCACTTCCAATCATGCCCCTGCCTCCAACACTCACACCCCTGCCTGCAACACTCTTGCCCCTCCCCGCCCCACACGACCCCACCCACCAGGCCACAGCCAGGCGTGATCGCAAAGGCCGAAGCCATGTACCACCGCCTCTTGTCCACTCCCGCCCCCTCCTCCCCGCTCCGCCAACCTCATTCTCCAACCGCTGGCCACTCGGGAGCCCCTGATGGCTTCTCGAGCCACAGAGTGGCGGTGGTGGGCATTCACCTGAGAGCGAACGACACGTTTGTGTGGCAGGGCAAGGAGGGCTTTGGGGAGCCCAAGGCTCTGAGCGACGGGGAGAGGGGCGTGCTGATGGCGTGGGCAGACAGCTACATGGCATGCGCCGAGGTGGGTGTGGTGATGGCGGTTGAGGGATTCACTGTTCTGATCGTTGGCATGGCATTAGGCTTGAGCACGGGTTGATAAAGGAAAGCATCCCGTCCATTCTTTCTGCTTTCCTTTTCCTTGTTTCACTCATCCCTTCTTTCCCGCTCCCTTTCTGCCTTTCAGAAACTGGAATTTTGGTGGATGCCTCCTCCAGCAACCGTGAGGTGGCTTGTGATCAGCAACTCACGCCAACTCAAGGAAGATCTGAAGCTTAAATTCCCCCACAAGGCATGTGCCCCCCAGCTCCCCTTGCCTTCTCCCTTTCCTCTCTCACACACACATCCATGTGCGCGTGCGCGCGCATACACTCACACACATGCACTCACCCGTCCACCCTCCCTTCCCTCCCAGGCCCCCACCCCCCACCCTCCCATCCCCCTCCCCCTCCCAACCCCTCAAAGAAACACACTCCAGTCTGCACCTCCCTCTCCGCCTCGTGGTGCGTCCTCGTCATTGTTGTCGTCTTAACTGGCTTCTGTAAGAGATTGCAACATGCCATAGTTCAAGCAGCACAGAATGAATATTCCTCATCCTCTTCCAATGCTCAATCCCCCTTTGTGTCACAGGTGGTGGCATCAGACATTCTCCCGGTACATGCCAACACTCTAATATCCACCATACGTCCGTCATCTATGGATGCTGAACACACATCTCCAGATCAAGCTACGCACGACACTGCAGCATCGGCATACATTGACATTGTTGTAGAGTGGCTCCTTTTGGCATCCACAGATGCTCTTGTTCTATCATACTCTGGGTTTTCTCATAGTGCAGCATTCTTTTCCTACCACCTAACTGCTGTTTTTATCCCAGGTAATTGCGATCCTGAGGGTCCCATAGCAACGAGTACAATAGGCCGGATTTGGAGTGGAATATGATGCTTTCAGTTCTGCTCAGAATCTGCTTTCAAGGCCGTATGTAGGTAAAAGGTCATTGGAAGTGCAAATGTTGGTGACGTGATCATCTTCTACCCTGATCCAACAGTTGGCATGGCAACCGAAAGACCAAATCTGGGCAAGTGAAAAGACCCACGAGATAATCATACCCACAAAGTTAACTCATACAGTACAAGGATACATAACACATTAACTTGGCTCTATTTGGCTCTTCAATTGGATCTTAAAACCCAGGGTCCACAGGTTTCAAAAGTAGGAAGGTTGGTTGGACTTAGTGACAAAACCAAAGGTAGGAAGCTTGGTTGGACTTTGTGACCCAACCAAAGGTAGGAAGGATGAGGCAACTACGGGAAACTTGAGACTCCGGTTGTAATATGCTTTGATATAGTATGGCTGCTGCTGTCCAGCCTATCCCGTCAGCCCCTTTGCTTGTGCTCCTATTCAAGGGAAGGATGGAACGGGAGGAAAATGCACACAAGGGGGGAAAAAGATGTCAGCAAATCATGGTCCAGATTGATAAACGTGGTATGGAGAGTGCTGGTGGATGGAATAGAGCAAGTGGAGCGAATGTGCATGAACCAGCATGCAGGAGTGCGTAAGGACACGAAAGCATAGACGCTTTGACAGGGGCAAAGGTGCAATGATTCCTCTTGATTCTTTGTGCTGGATGGAAGGTAGGGGATTTGAGGATCTAGTGATGCTTCGCAGGTGGTAGAGTTGCCATGGTGACACACAGGGCTCGCGACACAATACACAAGAGGGACTCAAGACACCACCAGAGGGACTCACATTTGAGCTCGCATTTGACCGACTTGGGCACTTGGGAGGGAATGAACGCCCTGCGAGCACCAACGAGAATTCTGCTGTTAGTCTCGAAGCACGGCCGTGTTGCAAAGCAGACCAGAGCAAATCAGAGCAGGGCGGGCGGACGCTTACCTGCGTGTGAGCATGGCGCGCCGATCGCTGCTGCTCATCGGGGCGCCTTGCCTGTCGGGGCGCACGAGCGCCAAGTAGGGCGGGCCCCCGCATCGTGGGGTGCGGTGGAAGGTGAGTCGAGCGCACGAGTACTCTTTGAACCCGATCGTGTCCCACCGCACCTTCACGACAGCGCCCTTGGCGAAGCGATTCCCTCCTTGCGGCACGCTCGCGCACAGGGCGTCATCGTATGTGAGGACCTTGTCGTCGGTTATCCTCTCAGGCCCCCCCGCGCTGAAGACATAGATGCCCGTGTTGCTGGGCGCGAAGGGGTAGGGCGGGAAGTACGCGTTGCTGGCGGTGGTCGGCGCGACGAGCACGGCTAACGCGACGAGGCCGGCGGCGAGAGTTAGTGCGGCGAGGCGGCGGAGGGCGGAGCGACCGCGGTGCTCCATGATGGCGATGGGTGACGGGGAGGCGGGGCGACGGGGACGAGCGACGGGACTGGGCGATCGCCGTGAACTAATGACGAGGAGCGCGACAATAGGTGGCGAGGAGAACGCAACTTGGAAGGTGCAGCAAGGTGTGACTTGTACGAGGTGGAATAGACAGGGAGAGTGCTGTGAGGACAGAGGCGGTGGTGACTTATGCGATGGGAGCGAGCGAATGGTGTGGTGGGGCCATCGAGTTGCGAGCGTGAAACGCGGGATCGCAAAGAGAGAGCCGCTGAGCGAGAGAGCGCCGCTGAGCGAGAAAGCATGGAACGCGGAAATTCAGGCGGCGAATGCGGCTAGTACCAGCGGATCTACCGTGCGCGTTTGTGTTGTGAGTATGAAGGAGTTCTTATAAGGGAGGGATTAAAATGGAGGGACGTTTCTGATAAGCGCAGAGGGAGGAAACGCGAAGGGAGAGAGCGGCGACTTGCATTCATTAGCTGAGGGGAGGAGTCGGCTTTGATGATCTGATAGCGCCGTTCTTTGCGGGGGACGCAGTATCTTGTGTTACCACATCGCCGACGAGAGCTCGACTGCGGACGAATGGTTTTTGCGGGAGGTGCGCTCATTGTGTCAGGCTGACACGAGGAGAAAGTCGATTGGCTTAGCGACCGCAGAACGCGGTGAGCGAGCAGGCTACAAGGGGCTTCCCCAGAACGCGATTGCGTGGTTTGAATGGGTTGTCCAAGGGAACGCGATCAACTGCCAGAACAGACATTGACCCCAAACAAGCTGATTCGATACCAATCAAACACAAGCAGTTTGAGGTGACCACGAGTTTCACAAACTAGCTTATAATATAAGCACTACATAAAGGTCCTAAGAACGTCTACAAGGAGGATAGAAATCTGACCCAGGCCATTCTCACGCCCCTCCCACGGCCACCACTTACTCTGGGCTCTGCTCCAGCTCGCCTTGTCTCTTTCCCTTCTCTCCACCTCCTCTTCTCTCGCCCCAACTTCCTTCTCGCGCTCACCTGCTTCCCTAGTGTTATGAGTTGTAAAAGAGAGTGCGCACGTAAACGAATAACGAGACTATGATTAACTGGTCAGAGAATACAATGAAGGAACACACTAATGTAGGAGCTAGCCTAGCTAGGAGGCAACCTCGGATGAGCGAGATTGGGGTGCAGGTTTGGCGATGGGAAATGCCAAAGGCGACGCGAGGAGCCTCGGCAGCGTTGAAATCGGCCGAATGTGCATAGTCCAAAAATCGGGCTGTACGCGTAGCAGTCAACCCCGATAATGAATTCGGGAAAACTCCTTACACTACCCACCCCCCCCCCCCCCCCCCCCCCCCCCCCGCTCCCCCCTAAGAAAGGCGGTCAATATCCGAAACACGCCTGCGCGCCAAATAATCGCCAACAAGTGACGAGGCGTCGAGCGAGTCAGAATGCACCCACGTGTCATCCTCACTGGTGCGGTCAGTCCAACGGATTAGGAAATCCACGTGGCGACCAGCTGCGTCAAGGCAAACCCGATGTGCCAGAATCTTCGAAGGTTCGAGAGTCGGCTCCGGAACAGGTCGTACAGTTGGGGCAGCTTGTTGCCTCGCGATGTCGGTCGTGGCTGGCACGAACTTCCGAAGCAGGCTGACGTGGAGGGTGTCATGAATGCGCCAGTCGTCGGGTAGCAGCAGCTTCGCGGTGACAGGTGTCACCATTTTTATAATCTTCAAGGGCCCACAAAATCGTGGCCGTAATTTTGACGGGCCGGGCAGGTGCAGGTTCTTTGTGTCGAGTAGCACTAGTTGCCCAGTGGTCAAGACGAGTTCCCGGCGTAGAAGGTCGGTATATTTGCGGGAAGTGATATTCGCCTTGCGAATTGCGTCCGCGGCCTTTTCTCGGACATCCTGTAGTTCCGTCACAAAAGTCTGGGACCTCGGGACCGGGTTGTCGAGAGTAGTCGCCGTAGGAACCGTCGGGTCCATCCCGTAATTAAGGAAAAACGGTGAGTGATTAGTCATGCTGGACGGCGCGTTGTTGAAGGCGAACTCCAACATTGCGAGTGATTCTTCCCAGCGGGCAGGGTCGGGGCCGTTTGTCCTGATCAGCTGCTCCATGGTCTGATTGGTCCGCTCGGTCTGGCCGTCCGTCTGTGGGTGATATACCGATGAGAAGTGTAGCTTCGTGCCGTACTGCCCCCATGTCTCCTTCAAGAATTCTGATGTGAACTTCGGGTCTCTGTCGCTGGTGATCGCCGAAGGGATGTCGTGCATTCGCACGACTGTTGAGATGAAGAGGCGCACAATTTCTCCGGCTGTGATTGTCGTCCGGCATGGGGCAAAATGCGCCATTTTTGTGAAGCGATCGACGACGACGAGCACCGCGTCATTGCCGGACTGCCCAGCTGGCATCCCCGTGACAAAATCCATTGTCACCTGCTGCCACGGTCGTTCGGGTGGCTCGAGGGGTTGCAGCCGCCCAGCTGGTCGTTGACGTGTCGATTTCATGGCTTGGCACACCCTGCGTGAGGACACATATCGCTGCACGTCGTTAGAGGAGTCATGCCAGTAATATTGACGGTGCAGTAATTTCTGGGTCTTATCAACCCCGAAGTGTCCGGAGAAGTTCGAATCGTGGACCTCTTGGATAAAGAGTTCATGTCGAAATATATTGTCATGTTTTATAACTGCTTGTAGTTGTAGTTAGTGTAGTTATTTAAATTGTTGTTGGTGGTGCACCTTATTTGGTTTCTATGCTATATGTACCCTTGAACCTATAGTGAAACCATCCCTTTTCACCAATTCCTCTCTCAACTCACTCGACACCTCGCCTAGGGTAAAACCCGCTCGATACCTAAGTACGGGCCTAGGCTACTAAGCCTAGGCCCCTTCCTTTCAACTTAGCCTATTACTTTAACATGGAATCGGAGCTTTTTACGACCTGGCCTGTGGGCCCGCCTTACGCTTCCGCGATGATTTTTCGGTCGCGCGCCTAGGGCGCGTGACGATTTTTACTTAGTCCCGCCCACGGGTGTGTGGCTCCTACTCTGCCCGTCGCGCGCCCCGTGGCACGCGACGGTGCCCTTCATCTGCCCATCGTGCGCCCCGTGGCACACGATGGTGCCTTGCTCGTCGTGCGCCCCTAGGCGCACGATCGGGCCCTTTTTATTCTTCTACCCGTCGTGCGCCCCGTGGCACTGGCACGCGACGGGCCTTTCCGCCCCTGCTCTCCCTGAAGCCGCCCCTGACCCATCTGCACCGACACCTTTTCGCCGCTCTGCGGCTTTCTTCCTTCCCACCCCCCTTCTTCCTTTGTCTCCCTGCAGCCGTGGGGAGGAGGGTATGGGGGTGGAGGGTGTTGGAGTGTTGGGTCACCTCTCTCCCTTCCCCTCCTCCTTCTTTCAGTCCCACCGCTGCAGCTGCCGCTGGGGGGGGGAGGGTGTGAGGATGTGGGGGAGCAGGGGGAGTGGTACCGGGGTGGCGGGTGTGAGGCAACATGCAGCCGTCCCTCCACCACTCCTCACTTACCCCCCTTCTCTGCTGCTCTGCAGCAGTGTGGGGGAGGGGAAGGAGGAGGGTGAGGAGATGGAAGGGGTACCTGCTGTTGCTTGCTATGCTGCAACTACATATCTACCTACAAGCATTATGGGGGCGTGTCGAAATATATTGTCATGTTTTATAACTGCTTGTAGTTGTAGTTAGTGTAGTTATTTAAACTGTTGTTGGTGGTGCACCTTATTTGGTTTCTATGCTATATGTACCCTTGAACTTATAGTGAAACCATCCCTTTTCACCAATTCCTCTCTCAACTCACTCGACACCTCGCCTAGGGTAAAACCCGCTCGATACCTAAGTACGGGCCTAGGCTACTAAGCCTAGGCCCCTTCCTTTCAACTTAGCCTATTACTTTAACAGTTCACGCAGCAGGCTGTAAGCGGGAACCCAAATCTGGTCGGTTCCGGCTTTTAAGTAATAGTCCCCTTTCTGCGTTGTGGCCTGCTGATGATTTCCAGTTGTGAAGAACGGGTCCGTAGTGTAGCCGTGGGTGAATAGTCCGGCAAGTAATGGGTTCGAGTGGGTAATGAGTACTGCAGCGGATTGTACTGTCGGTCGGGTCAGGGCGTCGGCAATGTTATTCGCCCCTTTCTTGTACGTGATGCGGTAGTTGAAGTGGCTCTCCAGGTAATCCAGCCACCGTATTTGTTGCGGGTTGAGGTTGGGCTGGGCTCGCAGGTACTGTAGGGACTTGTGGTCCATGTGAACAGTGACGTCGGCGCCCACCAAGTAGCAGCACCGCAGTTTGAACGCGTGTGATATGGCGAGCATCTCCTTGTCGTGGATCGGGTAGTTGCGTTCGGCTGCCTGCAGCTTGCGTGATACGTAGGCTATTGGCTGCAACCCGTTCCCGAAATCTTGGAGTAGCGCAGTTCCGATGGCAAAATCTGAGGCGTCGGTGACGACTTCGAACGGCTTCGATGGGTCGGCGATGCGCAGCACAGGAGGGGAAACGAGAAAATTCTTAAGTTCCTGGAAAGCCGCTTTTGCCTCCTCCCCCCACACAAAATTCCTGTCCTTGTGCAGCAGGTCGGTCAGCGGGCCGGTTATCCCCGCCATATTCGGGATTAACCGCCTGACGTAATTCACAAAGCCGAGAAAACTCTGGAGTTCCGTGACATTCGTCGGGGACTTCCACTCCTGTATGGTCTTGATTTTTGCCGGGTCGATTTTAATGCTGTCGCGCGAGATGACGTGCCCCAAAAACTCCAACTCCTGCTTAAAAAATTCGCACTTAGAGCCCTTAGTGATGAGTCAGTTCTCCTGCAGCCGTTTAAACACCGCATCCAGGTCACGGAGGTGCTGCTCCCTTGTCTTGCTAAAAATCAGGATATCGTCCAAGTAGACGATGACACATCGGTCTAGAAGATCCCGAAAAACCCTGTTCATGGTGAGTTGAAATGTCGAAGGCGCGTTCGTGAGGCCGAAAGGCATCACTGTAAATTCGTAACTTCCGTAGCGCGTGCGAAACGCAGTCTTGTGACAGTCGTCGGCGAAGACTCGAATCTGGTGGTAACCGCCACGTAAGTCAATCTTCGAGAAATAGCGGGCGCCGCGAAGCTGGTCGAGGAGGTCGTCGGTGCGTGGGATTGGGTAGCGAGACTTGATGGTGACCCGGTTCAGCGTGCGATAGTCGATGCACATGCGAAGCCCGCCGTCTTTCTTCGGAGTGAACAGGATGGATGCTGCGAAGGGAGATGTGTTGGCCCGAATGAACCCTTTCTCCAACAGTGCGTCAGTCGAACCTTTGACTTCGCAGCTCCTCGAGTTCCGGCTGGGTCAACCGCCACTGTGTTCGAACAGTCGGCTGCGCGCCAGGTTCGAGCTGGATTTTGTGGTCCTCAGGTCTCTCGGGTGGCAGTCCAGGTGGCAGGTCGTCGGCAGAAATGTCGGGGTACTGTCGAATCAGCTCCGCTAAATCCGGCGGTACAGCTGCACACAGCTTCTCGATGTCCTTTCCGTCGGTGTCAACCGCCAACTCGCGTAAGCAAACAGCGAACAGCTGCACGCCCCTGTTGAAGTGGCGAGCTATAGTGATAACTTTGACGCACGGGGCTTGGATGTAGTGAGGTGTCCATGCAGGCAGCTTAATTAGCCCCTCGTACTGCATCAGCGCATCTGTAGACTCCGCCAGCCGTACTGATCTTGATCGTTGTTACTGCAACTGGCCTAAACCCTAAACCCTAAACCCTAAACCCTTGCCAGCGACCAACACAGGGTGATCCACATGTGTATCCCCGTTTTTCGGCCGAGTGCGATCGATTGCATGAATCGGAACCACGACTCGGTGGGGATGGTGGGGTTCGGGCGACGGAGCACAGTCAGTAAAGGGCCCGCTAATTACTGACTCTTCCCATTTCCCTGCTCCTTCCTGTCGTTCCCCGTCAGCGGCGTTTTCTCGTGGCAATCTTTCATGTAGTGACCCGTCTTCCCACACCGGTAACACTGTCCCTTAGGAGGGCGGTTGGGTGTATGGACGGCGTTGATCGTGGCCCGATGGGTCTGGCCACGAAAGCGGTTTCCATCCCTGGAAGCTGCTCTCGCGTACTGCATCAGCGCATCTGTAGACTCCGCCAGCCGTACTGATCTTGATCGTTGTTACTGCAACTGGCCCTGCTGCCACTCACTGCCTGTCCTCCTCTTCGAAGTCACGTGTGAGCGAGTCCAAAGGATTGCTCACCGCTTGACAGTTGCCCTCGCCTTCGTCCTCGGGCGACACCTGACGCGCTTCACCCCGCGTCTGGCGCAGCTCGGCGTTTTCTTCATGCAGTGTTGTTACTTCCGCCATTAATGTCCTCATGCTCTCCTGCATTTCTGCCACTTGCGCCATCATCTTGTTAACCACCTCCTGATCCATGTGCCTAGCGCTACGTCTGGTGGGCAGTCGAGTCTCCGTGGCCTTCAGGGAAGTGAAAACACGAACTATTGGAGTCGGGCAGGATTGAATTAAATGTTAAACTATATTTATATATGTTCTTTATAATTGTCTGCATTGTAGAGTGTAACATATCCCAATTTGCTCTAGCATGCTTCTCCTTGCTATATTATGTACTCATCTTTCTTAGTGAAGCCACTTCCTCTGTCAAACTTATATGACTTAGCCTATGTAGGCTATAGTGGGGTAGAACATATGGGGTACAACACATTTCTTGTATCCAACTTTCCCTTAGTCATTTCATTTTCCTCGTTTCTTATCATGGTATCGAGCATGTTCCCTAGTAGGAACGCTACCTAGGGCCCACCACGATATTTTTTTTTTCCTGCCGGGAGCGCGCTTGACTCCTGCCCGAGTCGCGCTCTGTGTGCCCTCCCTACCTTCGCGCCGCCCTTAGTGGCCCCTCTCACGGCCCCTTACGCCGCCCTAACGGCCACTCGCGCCGCCCTCTACGGCCCCCCGCCCTTACGGCCCCTTACGGCCCCTCGCGCTGCCCTTACGGCCCCTTACGGCCCCTCACGCCGACCTTACGGCCCTCGCGCGGCCCTTTCGGCCCCTCGCGGCGCCCTTTCCGGCCCCTTACGGCCCCGTCGCCGCCCCGTTTAGGCCCCTTGCGGCCCCTCTTCGGCCCCGTCTAGGCCCCTTGTGGCCCCTCTGCGGCCCCGTCTAGGCCCCTTGCGGCCCCTCTGCGGCCCCTCTGAGACCTCGTCGCCGCCACCTGCGGCCCCGTCGCCACCACCTGCGGCCCCGTCGCCGTCACCTGCGGCCCCGTCGCCGCCACCTGCGGCCACGCCGCCGCCACCTACGGCCCCGTCGCCGCCACCTGCGGCCCCGTCGCCGCCAACTGCGGCCACGCAGCCGGCACCTGCGGCCCCGTCGCCACGTGCGGCCCCGTCGTCACCACCTGCGGCCCCACCGACGTCACCTGCGGCCCCGTCGCCCTCCCCTAGCGGCCCCGTCGCCCTCCCCTAGCGGCCACGTCGCCGCCTCTACCGGCCCTGTCACCGCTCACCCGCCGAGCGACCGAGCCACCCAGCAGCCGAGCGGCCCACCAGCCGAGCCGCCGAGCCGCCCAGCAGCCGAGCCGCCCAGCAACCGCGCTGCCCAGCAGCCGAGCCGCCCACCTGCCGAGCAGCCGAGCCGCCCACCAGCCGAGCCGTCGAGCCGCCTAGCAGCCGAGCCGCCCAGCAGCCGCGCCGCCCAGCAGCCGAGCCGCCCACCTGCCGAGCAGCCGAGCCGCCCAGCAGCCGAGCCGCCCAGCAGCCAAGCCGCCGAGCAGCCGAGCCGCCCACGAGCCGAGCAGCCGAGCCGCCCAGCAGCCGAGCCGCCCAGCCGCCGAGCCGCCCTACTGTCGAGCCGGTGCTGTTCCTACCGGTGCGCCCCGGCCCTACTTCCTCGGACTGGTGAGCTCACTCCCTACTAGGCCACTGCAGTCATGGCTACCCCCAGTGTCCTAACTTTTGATGCTGAGGGCCGTGCCGTTGACTTTGAGGTCTGGATCGATGACCTCCAGCTGTTTCTCCAGTGCGATAGGGCAGACGGACTCTCTCTGTTCGATCTCACCTCTGGTGTCTCTCCCGCCCCGCCTAATACTGTTGACAGCACTGTTCGCTCACAGTGGGCCATACGCGATGCTGCTGCTCGCCTTGCTGTGCGTCACCACTTACCGACCGCTGAGCGTGCGCACTTTAGCCAGTACAAGAGTGCTAAGACCTTGTACGACTCTGTAGTTGCACGCTACTCCTCCCCTGCCACTGCTGCTCTTAGCCGCCTCATGCTGCCGTACCTGTTCCCTGACCTTGCTGCCTTTCCCACAGTCGCTGACCTCATTACTCACCTTCGCACTAGTGACATTCGCTACCGCGCTGCGCTTCCTACCGAGTTCTATGCCAAGAACACCCCCCCCATGTACATCACCCTCTACTACATAGTCACCCGCCTCCCTGACTCCCTTCGCTTAGTCAGGGACCACTTCCTCTCAGTTTTCCCCACCACTCTCACCGTCGATCTCCTCGAGGAGCGCCTCCTAGCAGCAGAGAAGAGCATAGTCGCTGTAGGAGCCTCTCGTGGTGACCCTCGCACCCCCGTTTTTTAGGGGTGTTCCCCCTCCCCCCTCTTGCCCTCTGTTGTCTCTCCTGCTGCGGCCGACCTCGTTGGTTTCAAGTCGGTTGGCGCTGCGTCTGCCCCTAGCGGGAGACGCCGCACCGGCAAGGGCAAGGGGGGCAAGGGCGCTGGAGGGGCTGGCGGGGGCGGTGGAGGTGGTGGTGGAGGCAGTGGAGGGGGTGGGGGTGGTGGTGGGAGTGGTGGCGGGGGTGGAGGTGTCGGTGGCAGCAGTGGAGGCGGAGGAGGCGGCGGCGGTGGCGGAGGGAGCGGAGGCGGCGGAGGTGGTTGAGGCGGCGGAGGCGGCGGAGGTGGCGGAGGCGGCGGCGGCAGCAGTGGACTTGGTCGCGGCTCTGTGCAGAGGAGTGGCTCCGGTGGTGGTACGCGCCAGCAGCAGCAGCGCAGTCGTGAGACCCTGTCCCCTCAGCAGCTTCGTGAGTGGTACGCTGCGCGTCAGCTCGGTGGGGGTACTGGTCCCTGCACCTACGTTGTCCGCACTGGCAACCGCGCTGGTGAGTAGTGCGGGGGCCCGCACTCCACCCAGCGCTGCTTCGGCCGCCTGACGGACGCGTGGCGTCACCAGTTCCCTGAGGCCTCTGAGATCCCTCGCTGGGGAGAGCTGTCTAGGGCGGGGGTTGCTATCTTTTGATCTTGATTTTGATGCTATTCTTGCTGCCATGTATGCTGTTTCTGATAGTGTTGAGGTTGACTGTTACCTGTGTGTTCCGCCTGACCCGGGCATTGAGTGCGGAGATAACTGCAGCAACGGGAGCTAGGCTACGGGCTAGGCACGTGTGCTCGTGTGATCTCTGCGTTCTCTGTTCCTTAGTCGTTTTCCTTGTGCACACACTACTTGCTAGTTCACGGGGAAAATTGGCAAGAGTTTCACTAGGAAAAGTTCAGAACAATGGTACAATCAAGTTGGCAATGCAAGACTACATCAGGGCTAGCATTCAGGTCGGCCAACTGCCAGCGCAGCTTGGTCGACCGCGTTCCAGCACGGCTTGGTCGACCGAACTCCAGCAAGGCAAGGTCGACGGCGTGCCAGCGTTGCTCACGCAGGACAGCAGTGCACCCGCTTCGCAGGTGTGCGTAGCCGATTGGCGTGCAGAGTCCCGTCACCTGCACAGCGCACACTCCACGTCAACCTTGAGCTGACGACTGCCTCTGGCCCGCCACAACGACCTCGGGATACCACCACTGAGGTCGTGCTCGCCAACTTCGCCTGGGCGACCGTCGCACTCCTTCGCAGCACTTCGTCACCCAGGTAACCTGGTCGACCAGGCTACCACGTCGACCAGCAGCTCCCGTACGTGCCCGTCGACCTCCCAAGTCGACGACCACCTCCACGTCGACCTCACTAGGTCGACGACACCATCGGTCGACCTCCTCCAGGTCGACATCCCCTCTGGTCGACCAGCTCCACGTCGACCAGCACTCCTGGTCGACCTGCTCCTCGTCGACCAGCACAGTCGTCGGCCGACCACCCACGTCGGTCACCCGAAGCTGGCGTCACAAAGTTGATGCCCAGCTACTGGATGCCCAACTGCTCGGCGTCCTGAGTCGAGGTCGACGTCGGCCCCTCCTTCGTCGACCACCAGGTCCAGTCGACCACTAACAGGTCGACTAGCCGTCCGTTAGCCGATTGCCGAAGTCGGCTTCAACGTCCTCTGCAGGTCGACTCCCAAGTCGGCGCCACCCTAAAGTTGGCGCCCGTGCAGTGATCCCCCGTGCAGGTCGACCTCCTCGTCGACCAGCTCACCCACTGCTGCAGGTCGGCTGCTCCCCTCACACCCGACCATACAGTCGGCTCTGCCCAAGCGAGGACGGGGCCAACACCCAACTCCCGTTGACACTCCCCTGCCGCGTTCACGCTTGGGCACCCAGCCCACACGGCAGTACAGCTTGGAGACTAGCTCGTCGACGTGCGCCCAGCACATAGCACGTCGTCCACCGCACCAGCCATGCAAGAGGGCATGGCACCTACTGCTGCACGTCGTTGCCGCCGTCGCCCACGTCGGCCAAGCGCACTTGGCCGATTGCGACGGAGCACCGGTTGAAGGCCGGATAGTGCAGCGCTTTCGTCAGGAAGTCGGCCGGCTGCTCAGCGGTCGGGATGTACTGCAGCAAGAACTTCCCGCGCCTCACCATGTGCTGCAGCCAGACCTGTCGCTGTTCCATGTGCTTGAGGTTGCCAGTCAACCCCATGCCCTCGGCGACCGTGATGGCCGACTTGTTGTCCACACGCAGGACAGTCGGCTTCCCGGCGTCCAGTTGCCGCAATTCAGCGAGGAGAAGCGAAGGCGACGTCCCTCCTTGCCAGCTTCAGTGGCCGCAACGTACTCCGACTCGGTCGACGACAACGTCGCGCACTTGATGCGCTGGCTCGACCAGGAGACTGCAGCCCCTCCGTAGACGAACACGTAGCCGCTCGTGCTCGTCCTGTTCTGCTTGTCACCGGCGTCGTCAGCGTCCACGTAGCCGACCAGCTCCAGCAACTCAGGTCCACCGCCGAACTCCAGGGCGGTGTCGCGTGTGTTGGCGAGGTAGGCGAGGCAGCGATCGACCTCGCGCCAGTGCTGGTCGCTCCTCACCGTGAGGCCGCTCCCCAGCTTGCTGCAGGCGAAGGCGACGTCCGGCCTCGTCGTTGTCGCCGCGAACTGCAGCGAGCCGACCTTCTGCCGGTACTCCTCCTCCTGCCGTTCCTGCGCCTCCTCGTCATCGAAGGTGAGTTCGGCGTAGGCACCGACCGAGACCGGCGTCTTCGGGGTGCGCCCGGTTTGCTCCTCGTCGAGGAAGCGCCTACGCAGCTTGTCGGCGTAGCCCTGCTGGTGCAACCACAGCTTCCCCGCCGACCTGTCGCGCACGATCTCCAGCCCGAGGTACTTCTGCACCGGCGAGATCTCGCGCAGCTCGAAGGCGGCTTCCAGCAGCTCCTTCAACTCCTTTAGCAACGCAGCGCTGCTGCTGGAGGCAAGCAGGTCGTCGACGTAGACCAGCACCCAGCAGGCTACTTCACCCTCGCCGACTTTGTAGTAAAGGGCCTCGTCGACCTGGCTCTTCTTCCACCCGGCGCCGACCAGCACATCGTTGTGCGCGAAGTACCACAACAGCGGCAACTGCTTCAGCCCGTACAGGCTCTTCAGCAGCTTACACACCCGGCCGGTTCCGTCGTTGAAGTAGTCCGGCTGAGACATGTACAGCACCCGATCGAGCTTGCTCTGCAGGAAGGCGTTCTTCATGTCGAGCTGCATCAGGTTAAGGTTGAGGACGGCGACGATGCTGAGGAAGATCCTCAGCGTGACATAGCTGCTCACCGGCGCGAACGTCTCGTCGTAGTCGGCGCCATACACCTGTGTGAAGCCCTTCACGACCAGCCTCGCCTTCTCTCGCTCGACGGTGTCGTCGATGTGGTACTTCGTCGTCAACACCCACCGGTTCTTCATGACGTTCACCCCCGGCGGGCGTTCGACCAGCTCCCAAGTGCCCATGTTGATGAGGCTCCGAATCTCCTCCTCCATGGCAGCCTTCACCGCCGGGCCCTTCCAGCTCGCCAGCGCCTCTATCACCGTCATCGTCGAGATGTCCCAACGGTGCTCGGGGTGAGCTAGCATGTCGGGGTCGAGCTCCGAAAACTCCTCATCCTCCTCGGTGTCGTCGTACTGCAGGTCGTCGTCATCGTCCACGTCATACACCGTGGTGAAGGCAGCGGGGACGAAGAAGTCAGGCGTCCTCCGAAGTCGGCCTGAACGTCGCGGTCCTTGCTGGACCTCCTCGGCGTCCCCTCCATCGTCAATGTCGTCACTGCCCTCGGCGTCCTGCTGCTCCTCAGCCGGCGTCCCAGCCGACTGCTCCACTGTGGTCGGCTTCCCAGCCGACTTCTCCCCTGTGGTCGGCTCCCCTGCCGACGTCCCGGTCGCCGACTGCTCCGTGGTCGGCTTCACGCCAGCCTGCTCCTTTGTCGGCTGCTGCTCCCCGACCTGCTCCTCCCCTGTCGACTCCAATCCCTCGTCGATTCGCCGCTCGTCACGTCGGCCACCGGCGATGCACTTGGCCGGCGCCGAAGGCGGCATCCCACTACTCCCCTCATCGCCGGAGGCCGACACCGAGGTCAGCCCACGCATGTCGGCCACGAGGGGAGGGGTCAGAGGGTGAGGGGTAGGGGTGTGGACGTCCTCTACGTCCTCAGCAGCAAGCTCACCGACCTCGGCAAGCAGCGGCAGCGTCGCCGACGAGGTGTCAGAGGGCGGCAAGCGGCCGGACACCAGCCCATGCTCCGTCTTCCACTCGGCCAGCGACAGCTCCTCGTAGAACACCACGTCCGACGTGGTGACCACCCAGTCAGTGGCGACGTCAAGGAGCTCCCAGCCCTTGCTCGCCTCTGACACACCAAGGTGCAGGCCCCACTTGGCCTTCGGCTGCAGCTTCCCACCGCGCTGCTGCTCAGGGACAAGGAACTGTGCCATGCAGCCCCACACCCGTGCCAGCGACAAGTCTGGCTTCTTCCCGGTCAGCAGCTGGTACGGTGTCGTTCCCGGCGGCAGCGTCGACCTCTCAAGGCAGTTGCGGACCCAGACGGCCTGCCGCAGAGCGAGGTGCCACCAGTGGTGCTGCACACCCATGTGCAGCAGCATAGTCCGCACCGACTCCACTACCGTTCTCATCTCCCGTTCCGCCATGCCGTTCTGCTGCGGGGTGTATGGGCAGGTCAGGTCGTGGACGATCCCCTTGTCGTTCACGAAGTCGGTGAACTGCTTCCCGAGGAACTCCCCTCCCCGGTCAGAGCGCAGCATCAACACCGACTTCTTTGTCTGCCGCTCAGCCACCGCCAGCCACTGTACGAACGCCTGCAACGCATCGGACTTCTTGGCGACCGGCTTCACCCACACATAGCGGGTCTTGCGGTCCTTCAGCAGCAAGAAGTACAGGCTGCCATCCTTGGCAGCCACGCGAAACGGCCTGCATAGGTCGATGTGCACGACGGCCAGCACGTCGTCGGCGTCGGAGCCTTGGTCGGGGAAGGTGTGCCGCGCCAGTTTCCCACCGACGCACGAGACACACGGGGAGTCGGCGTCCGTCGCCGACTTGAGGTCCAGCCCAATGGCGACCTCGTTCTTCGCCGAGCTCCGTATGGTGTCCATGCAGACATGCACAAGCCTTGCATGCATCCGGTCCGGCGTCGACTTCGTCTTCGAGACGATCGCCCGCAGAGCCACCACCTCCGTCGTGGGCGGAGTCGACCTCGTCGCGCAGGGGCGCAGGTCGGTGCAGAGGACTCATCCAGAGTACGTCGCCCGCCCGAGCACCTCCCCTGCTGCCGAGACGAGCAACATGCCGTCTCCGTCCTCCTGCAGCTTCACGCCATGCTCCTTCAGCTGGCCGGCCGACAGCAGGTTGGCTCGCACACCCGGGACGTACAACACGTCGGGGATGAGCACCTCCTTCCCGGCCTCTCCTTGCAGGGCGATGGTGCCGCAGCCCTGGACATCCTGCAGCGCCCCATTGAAGCCGCGCACATGCCTAATGACGCCGCTCGGCTGCAAGTCGACGAAGGCTTCCTTCG